CTATCTATTTATCAGCTTTATTTGTCTGGTTGTTTTCAGGTAATTTGTGAAAAGACTTTGTCTTTCTAAGAATGTGTGTTCCTGTAACGTGGGAAAGACAATGAAATTATACAAGAAATCAATCATCATGCATGGTATGTTTATACTGGGCTGAGTTAATAAACAATAACTAATATTTCATGTATAACAGATAGAGGAGGACTGGGTAGAAGGACCAGGTCATTTTAATAGAGGTGGAGTAAAGGTGATTTGAGTATGTGGTCACCCAGAGGATATGATTGGAGGGAAAAGGCATGTGGTGGGTGAAAGGTTATAGCATAAATGAGTAACATCAACATAAAAGGTAGCAAGCATGGATCTCAAAGCCAAATTATTTAAATATGCCAGGAGGAGCTGTCCTCGTACCCACTGGCCCCAGATGATTAATAAGTGTATCTGGAGCAAGCTATTTTTATCAGCATAATAGCATGCATTCAGTGAATATAATCTGATGCTCAGGGATGTATTTGTAAGCCCCAGACCTGACCACTGATTGCACCATATTCAGTTTTATGTATCCTCTCCACAATTAGACATATTTACCATCACCATAATCAGCCACCATGGCCAACTTCTCTCCCACCTATTTAGCCATTGGGTCCTTGTCTCCTTTCCATACTATATTTCGCAATGTCAATACTTACTAGTGGCAGCCATGCAACACAAATAGATCCAATTAATGAATGTGTTTGACATCCAACATCCACATACAAAGTGTGCTGATGTTGGATATTTCTCATTAAGAAGCACTGGATTGGCAGATCTCAGTAATTGCCGCACATGTGCGTGTCTCATTAATGCTTCTCTATGACAAGCATCTGTTTAGACAAAAGTCATGAGGACTGATGACTTCAAGTAGGGGCTGCAGATTGTCAGTATGGTGTAAATGGTCATGTAGGTCACATGGTGCATAATACTAAAAGCTGAGAAAGGGTAGAACTGGGAAAGGTAGCCGTGGTTGAGTGTGTTATGATGGATTGAACAAATAAACTATACTGGCTGGAGGAGTGGAATCACATACTGATAGCTTTTAAGAAGGGACATTGTGGTGGTTGGCTCTGGCAGGGAGCATGATAATGATAAGGTTGTGTAGGATATAGTCATGTAGGATATAGTCGTGTGTTACTAGTGCAGGCAAAGTACTGCTGGTTGGTGGGAAGAAGGTCATTAGCTAGTTGGCAAGAAGTCAATGGGCACGGTAAAAGGGTGTGCCACTGACACAAATCACGTAACCTGCCAAAAGGGGTGAACATGCCCAAAAAGAGGATATGTCTGCCCAAAGAATTAGAAGGCCAGCCTGGCATGAATGCATGTCAGGCTGCCTGCCAATCATGCAGCTGGCCAACTAAGGGCATACTATGCAGACAGCACCCTGAGCTTGGCATAAATGCATGTAATGATGCGCTCACTCAACGCTTTCTAAGGACTATCCCCTAGCACTCGCTGGCCCACTTGTCTCCTTACCTTCTTACTAGCAGGCAGAAGCTCTTGGTATATAGTCTGGGACAGAGAAAAGCTGTATGTAGTGAGTGTAGAAGAAAGGGAACATGCCACAGTGTTAGAGAGACCAAAGTCAGCATTACCTTAAAGGATCACTATAGGGTCAGGAACACAAACATGAATTCATGACCCTATAGTGTTAACACCACCATCTAGCCCCTCATGGGCCCCTCATGCCTCCATAAATATAACAAAATCTTACTGTATTCAAGCCTGAAGCTGTAACTCTGCATGCTGTTAGACTCAGAAAAACAAGCAGTCTGCTGACATCATTAGAAGTGGTGGCCTAATCCAATCACAGTGCTTCACCATAGGATTAGCTGAGACTGACAAAGAGGCAGATCAGGGGCAGAGCCAGCATGATTCAAACACAGCCCTGGCCAATCAGCATCTCCTTATATAGATTAATTGAATCAATGAATCTCTATGAGGAAAGTTCAGTGTCTGCATGCAGAGGGAGGAGACACTGAATGTTTGGATGCATTTTAGGCAGCCATGACCCAGGAAGGATCTCTAACAGCCATCTAAGGAGTGGCCAGTGAAGTTATCACTAGGCTGTAATATAAAGGACTGCATTTTCTCTGAAAAGATCGTGTTTACAGCAAAAAGCCTGACGGTAATGATTCTACTCACCAGAACAAATTCAATAAGCTGTAGTTGTTCTGGTGACTCTAGGGGACACTTGAAGACATGGGGACACAGACATCAGGGACAAAGACACTAGAGACACTGGCTGGGGGACATGGGGACATTGAGACATGGGGGCACTGGGAGACATGGGGACAAGGACACCAGGGACACTAGCTTGGAGACATGGGGACATTGAGACACTTGAGGCACTGGGAGACATGGAGGCACTAGGAGACATGGGGACAGTGAGACACTGGCAGACTGGGGGCACTGGGAGACTAGGGGGCACCTAGACACCAGGGACACTGGCTGGGAGACATGGGGACACTGTGTCCCCATGTGTCTGTGTCATAATGTCTCCCAATGTCCCTTAGTGTCTCAGTGTCCCCATGTCTCCTTGCAGCCTTTCCCCCCATTCCTTACTTCCCTGAGCTGTAGGCTGTCTCTGCAGGGTGGGAGTTGCTGTCTGGACTCTCTGTAGCTGCACCCCTGCAGATCAGTGAGTATAGATAGGCAGGGAGGGATATGCTGGAACTTCCTATCCCTGCCTGTCTCCACATACAGCGACCCCTACTGGCCAGTGCTGGTATTGCATAGTAATGCAATGAGAAAAATACCAGCATTTGTATTGCCAGTATCACTGTAATATTGGCATCAGCCAGGCAGCCTCAAATACTGGCTGTGCCAATAAAATAAAAGCCAGGTGGGATCCCTAAGAGTAGTGTGTGGAAATTTTTTTTTTTTTTTAAATCATTGGGCCTATTCCTTGGGCCTGGGCCTGGGCCTGGAGCTGCAGCTCCATCAGCCCCTATGTTAATCCGGCCCTGATACCAGGCATAGGCAACCTTCGGCACTCCAGATATTTTGGACTACACCTCCCATGATGCTTTGACAGCATTATGAGTGTAAGAGCATTATGGGGGATGTAGCCCACAACACCTGGAGTGCCGAAGGTTGCCTATCCCTGATCTATACACACATACACTAGAGCCCCTATGCACAGTACATCACCTATACACACACTAGAGCCCCTAGCCACACATATTATAACACAAGCACAACATCCTGGAATTACCTTTTTACACAAAACACTCTACAAATACGCAATCCCAGAAACAGAGCAAATATGTCTCTGGTATCTTAATCTTGGAGACAGCAGAGACAAGTCACAAGTAAATTTTGCTTGTGCTGCGCAGAACATATTGTCATGGTGCACCCTGAACCCTGCAGACAGCAAGGCATGGCTGCCCTTTTAAGTGTCCTGGCTTTTAAGCGACCTGGCTGGATTTGAACTCACGGCTCCAACATCACAGACAGGTTCTCTGCTACCTGACTCCTTTGCCTGGATGGAGCAGTGCTGATCCACCTGCATCCCCTTACCAATTAGGATCAGATGCTCCTAATCAGTAGGCTGTAAAAGCCAGCTCTGCCCTAAGCCTATAATCTGGTCATTTTGTTTTTCCTGCCGGATCTTTGTTACTCTGCTGACTGATTTCCTGGAGTTTGATGTCTGCCTTACCGACTACAATATAGAAGTCTCGCGAACACCCAGAGCATTTCCATGGCAGAGCTGCAGTGTTGACCCACTGGACCACCAGGGAATTTAATAAAGGTAGGACACAGCCCCTGCCCTCCACCACAATGTAACACCTCCCCTCCCCACAATGTAACCCCCTCCTCTCCCGGCCCCCCTCCCCACAATGTGACCCCTTCTCTCCCTGCCCCCCTCCCCACAATGTAACCCATTCTCTCCCTGCCCCCTCCCCACAATGTAACCCCTTCTCTACCTGCTCCCCTCCCCATACCGTAACCCCTTTTCTACCAGCTCCCTTCCCCACACTGTAATAAACAAGAATAAACAATATTTGTTTGTTTATTCTTGTCTGACTCCGTTATCTTCGGAACTGGAGGATTGGTTTTACCCCCCATCTACATCATCTACATCAGGGGAAGCACCCTTGGGCGATTTTCTTTCATCCTTCTAGTGAGCAATATTCTACATAGCCCTTTTATACTCATTTAACAGTGTTACACTATTATTTGTTTATCTACATTGTAGATCTGCAGCTGTATCCTCCTTTGTTTGTATGCATATCACTTTTATAAATTAACTTTGCTACATGCCTTGGCTGTCAATCAGAAAACCGGTCCTGTTACTTCCTGGTTTGCTAAGCTAAGTGGAGTTAAACTCAAGAGTCTGGTAGTTGACCAGAGCTCCTGTCTTACGAAGACTCCTTTATTGAGCTGCATTGGGAAGTCTGTGATTGGACAGTCACAGAAAGTCTGGGCTGGATTAGAAGGGGAGGGCTTGCAAAGGCTGCTGACAAGAGATCTGCAGGTTTTTCAAACTGTTTTTATTTTTTTACTTATATTTTATTGAATTTTTGTTGTTGTTATTTGCGAGAGAACATAGAGAACGACAAAGACATCTATATGTGAGATTTAACAAAGATTGTAATAGTTTTAACAATTCCTCCATGGTCGATGTGTGTCCTCCTTGTTTCAAAATCAATCATTGTAGTATCGTAATAAAAAGAAGCTCAGTTACAGATTGTATTTATATAAACATCACAGTTTCTGGGGCAGCTGTGGCCTGCTTCCTACTGCGGCCTGGTGCTGCCCTGGTGGGAGATCTCCACGTCTTGGGTGACATCGGCTTTTACTCTGGTGGACAGTCTGAGCTTCGTACTCCCCCACCCTCTGGGCTGGCTGGGGTTATTTTAACCCCCCACCAAGCGAGTACTTACCTCTATAACGCTACTGGGTGACACCACTGAAGGCCGGTATACACGCGGCCTCCTTAAAGTGGCCAACGGCATCGCTACACAAGCTCACCTGCAACTCAGTAGCTGGGAAGCAGACTTCCAGCAAAGATTTGACACCATGTGCCAGTGGTATTGGAGAAGCTGAGAGGATCGGCAAAAGCCACCTAAGATGCCTGCACCCATTGAGCAACCTCCAGACAGAGCTCCGGCTTGATAACCCCCTCCTAGCTGGGGAACCCAGACTGCGACACCGTCGCCTGAGACTCCAAAGCCCTCTTCCACGGATGGTGAGGGAGGCTTATGGACATAGGTAACTGGGTCCTGACAACACCTGGGGCTGTTGTGATGCTGCACGGCAAGGCAACACCCTGCCACAAGAAGTCTCTGCTGCACCTGCCTGCATGCAATCTGTCCACCATGGGCATAGGCTGAGAGGACTGGTTTCATCCAGTCTGAGAATACATCCAGGCTGTTCACTTAAATTTAATTTTGTCATTTCTGTCTTCCCCAAGCAACTTTATTTTAATTCTGATTTTAGTTTGCATTTTATGTGCCTGCTCACTTGCAACCAACATAGAGGTTAGAAATGTAAGCCCAATCTTTGCGTAGCTTGGTGGTCTTATTTTTCAGCATATGCTGACATTGTTCACATGCTACTACGTATGGCCATAGGACTCTTAATCTAATCCAGTTTAAGCAACCAGTGCTTTTACCTCATGTTTTACCTTTTTATCTTCTAAAATCCAGCACTAGAACTGTGTCTTTCTACATTAAATAATTAACATAAAAATGTACAGACTAAGTTCTACTGTTCTGTTTTCTTATGACATGTCTATAACGATTTATCTTGCTTAACAGTATGTATTGCTGACATGTACCATCCATGCACACCAAAAATAATTTAAAAAAACAAAACATTTTTTTTTGTGGTTTCTCTAAATAATTACCTTACAGGACTAAGACTGCCTCCCTTGGCTGTCTATCAGACAGCCACTAGAGGCACTTCCTGGATTATACAGACTCTGAATCCCTTAAAAGACTCTGGACGTCTTCTTGCTCTGCAATGCTTTCCTATGGGGAGGGCCTAATACGCTTGCCATGCATGCACATTATGGCCTTGAAGGAGGTGGATTGCTGACCCAGCGCCAAGGGATATCAGGGCTGGAATCGAATGAGTAAATAAAGGGTTTTTTAACCCTTTATCTGCTTCGGGGGAACCAGAGGGCACTGTAGTGTTAGGAATACAATACTTAAACAGTGTGTTTATTTATTTTGTTTATGGGCAGTTTAGTGTCCTTTACTAAATCTTCCCCAATGTGTATTTACATAATCCTAAGGAATGCTACCTATGGGGACTGAGGATTTGTATGTGTCTGTCTCCAAGGAGAATATGAACATTTACATTTCTTATTAGAGAAAGACCTTTAAAGACCATCAGCAGCCAATCAGAGTCTGATTGTACAGGAGCTCACAGAAATTTTCTAACTAGTATATTTTGGGCTAAAATGTAAAATTCACTTTGAATCCAGTTGGACATTTCAGCAATTCACACTAATAATCATTCTAGGGCTGTGTGTTTAGAGTGAGCATTCTATATACCATAACTACTAATAGTGCACTATGATTGATGAGTTATGATGCCAGTTTATCTGCATATCGTTTATAACTAAGCTATGCATGGACACTGTTTTTATCTTTCTAGTTTCAGTGCCTCCATGAGTTTTGCTGGCCAGGCTAGGACTGACTTCCTCCCACTATCTTCTATGTGTACAGGTTCGTTCCCAGCAGTGATTGTTGCTGGTCTTATATTTAGAATGGACAGTATACAGTAAAGGGTAAATGTATGAATAGATTTTTATGTAGAATACTGCTTGAGTCTCAGTATTACTAGGTGGTGAAAAATAATTTACAATGATGATCCCAGATATAGATATAGTGCCACTTTAAACACTTTACTGTGAGCTCTCTCCTCGATATTGTAATACACCACGTGTTACAGAGGGTTTTATTAGTATGAAGATCTATGGTATACTAACATTTAATGCATACTGCAGTTTGTTTTACTCTGTCTGGCATACATGCAGGTGGTGAGGGGGCCCATTCAGGATGACAGGAATGGTGATCCACAGAGATTTCCTCTCCTGTCGGTCACTTTACATTGTGGCTTGTGGACCACGGTAGAGAATCTTCATTATCCTGTGCCCTAGAAAGCTACTACTGCCTCCCTCCACCCTGATCTTTATTTCTTTTTTTGATTTGCAAAACTTATACAGACACTCCTCACTTACCGATCGTGTTCCTTTCCTGCGACTCGGTCGTAGAACGAATTGGTCGGTAAGTGAGGACCACCTGTATGTCCATCTGCTTGCTATGTAATATCAAAAGAAGAAGCTGCTATTGCCCCTGCCCATATAAACTATATCTACCCCAGACATAAAATGTCTACTGGTCTTCACATTATTCTTGATGGGTACAAGCTACAATGGAGGGGACCTCACTCCTCTCATAGGAAATATTTGTAATTCTCAGTGATAACCAAACATGGATGGGGTGTACCCCTGGTCACAATGCCCAAACAATAGAGAAGAGGTCCAGGCACTAATTTTTTTCAGATATGACAGCTATTTAATGAAGAATATCACCAGATTTGTTAGTTAACTATTTGGTCTCCAACTGTGACCTTTATCAAGTCAAATATAGGCCAAGCCATGGTTGGTGACCAAAACATTGTCTTGTAAACCTGGTGATATGCTTCATTAAATAGCTATCATATGTGAAAAGTTGAGGGCCTGGACCCTTTTTCTGTTGTCTGGACATTGTTCTTGATATTGCTCATATCTTACCCCGCTCACACTGATTTACTGGTTCAGTATCCATTAGTAATTTATGAATGAAATTACTTTTTAAGCTAATAGAGTAGTCTTCTGTTCGCTTGCTACGTTATAGAAAGTAATGAGCGAAAAGCTAACAATCATAGGTGATTAAATTATTTGAAGTGTCTCTAATAAAAGCTGGAAAAATTGTAAATGTAATGTCCGGCTTTGAACAGTTTTGTTACTAGCTACGTTTGCAGGTGATCCAAGAAGGCACCCACCACACAGCCCTTTCCCTTGGGGAGAAAGCTGCTATATGTAGGGGTGTGGAATTGATATCGCCCGACATCCAGGACATGCAGTTCTGGGTGCAGGAATTTTCAAGTCTTTTAGCCCTACCATGGGCAAGCTGCAGGGCTACCTTGGAGAGGCTGGGGCTGAAGAAGTGAGATCTACAAATCCGCTGTGTGCACACCTTAGTAATCACCTTCTCACGATCTGGCACGCTCTCCTTAGTTGGTGTGTGCATTGGAATTCCCAGCATGCACTCTTACTCACTGAATGCTAGGACCACTGCAGCTACAGGGAAAGGAGGCATTTTAACTGTGGGGTGTGCAGGATACAGAAAGCATACATGTCCTGAGAACAGAGGGAAGGCATGGGATTAAAGCTCTCACATTCCCCCTCACCCCTCCTGCTGTGCGTATAGATGCCATATATACTAGCTGTACATTAACAGGTATTGTCCTACTGCCCTATGTAGACTCATTGCAATATTACTTCATTTAAAAAAAAAAAAAATTTAATTATACCCACACATCACATAAAGTCGACACACACAACACAGATTACATACAGCCAGTACAAACTATATAAAGCTAGCACACACCACACACATATAAGTGATGCAGATGCGGGGGCTGATCCATGGCGAATGTGGGTGGCACAGCCAAATGGTCATCTTAAGGTGCCCCAATGTGGCGCTTATTCAGGAAGGCAGAGTACGGATCTGCCTACCTGGATGGCAGGTGCCTACTCCGCAGATATATGCCAGAGGCAGGGGAGGGGGAAGAGGAGGCAGGCAGCCAAGTGTTTCGGCAGGGAGGGAGAGGTGATCTTGCAGTTCTGCCTTACTCCCTTCTACCCCTGCATACTAAACAGCGCACGGGAGGAGTGAAGAACTGCAAGATTACCGGCCCACGCTGGACCCCTGGGAGAGGTAGAGAGGCTGGATGGGCCACATAAAATAAAATTTATATGTGAGAGTGTGTAAGAATATGTGTGTGTGTGTCTGTCAGTGTGTGTTTCAAATCAGTGAGATTGTGTCTATCATTGAGAGTGTAAAAAGAGAAAAGAGGGTTGCACTCAATCAAAAAAATCACATGGCGCTGACTGAGTATGGGTCAGCATACCTATAGAACATGTATCAAGGGAAAAATCTCAGGCACTCACTGTGATAAGTTAAGCAGCTTTAATGGACACCACAATGTGAAGAGGAGTGGACCAATGTTCCACAGGCCACAATCCACAACCTGATCAACTCTATGCGAAGGAGATGTGTTGCACTGCGTGAGGCAAATGGTGGTTACACCAGATACTGACTGGTTTTCGGACCCCCCAAAACAGTAAAACTGCACATTTTAGAGAGGCCTTTTATTGTGGCCAGCCTAAGGCACACCTGTGCAATAATCATGCTGTCTAATCAGCATCTTGATATGCCACACCTGTGAGGTAGATGAATTATCTCGGCAAAGGAGAAGTGCTCACTAACACAGATTTAGACAGATTTGTGAATAATAGTTGAGAGAAATAGGCCTTTTGTGTACATAGAAAAAGTCTTAGATCATTGAGTTCAGCTCATGAAAAATGGGCACAAAAACAATATTTTGCGTTTATAATTTCAGTGTACTTGTTTATACCATATCATCTTCCTTGTGCTGGCTGGTTTCATACCAGGGAAACACTTGGAGTTAGTAACAGCGCACCATCTACAGAAGCATCTCAAGTGTACACAATCTACAGAAGCATCATAAACATAGACATAACCCTGGGCAGGGCCAGGATGGGCACAGTTGTCGCCTAAGCATGCGTAGTGGAGTTTATAGTTTCGCATTTTTTAGTGAATTCTTTTCCACTTATCCCAAGCTATCTCCCAGTAGTTTTGGTAGTTTGGATGTTTTCACTTGGGTGGCGTGTTTTGTTTTGTAAAAGTTAACTCATACAGACTTGTTTGGTTGACTTGTTGCATGCACATCTCTATTGTGAGGATCTTTTGCGTGGCCTTATTTCGTGCTATGGAGGATATTCAGTATTGGTCCGCTTTTACTATCAGTGGGGAAATTGAAAAGTACACAGTTTTTTTCTAGGAGGTAGGGTAGGTGTATACCTGTTCTTTCTTTTATTACTTTTGCTCTATTTTGCCAGAAGCAGGTAAGCTTTGGGCAGCTGTGTGACATGTTCCCGATTCCAGATGCACATCTCCAACATTGATTAGGTTTAGTTAGGCATATGCGGCTTAAGCGAGTTGGTGTTAGATACAATTGGTAGATTCGTTTTTTTTGGCCAATTTAGTGTGCCTGGAGCAGAAGCTTTTGGGGTTTACAATCTTTTTTTTTTACAATCATTTTTTCTCAT